TTTTTTTTTTTTGGTACGGGGGAAGGAACTCGGGACCTTGCACTTTCGAGGCAGACAAGGAGCAACTGAGCTAAATCCCCGGCCTCCTTTTGTTTTTTTAGTTTGGGCTGGCCTTGAATTCATTCTGTAGCTCAGGCTGGCCTCGAACTCCTGGTGATCCTCCTGCCTCAGCCTCCTGAGTGTTAGGATTACATGCATGTGCTATCATGCCTGGCTTTCGATTCTCTTAAGTATATGCTTAGTAGTGGAAGTTCTAGTGTAATTTTTTATAAAACTGCCAAGCTTTTCCAAAGCGGCTGTACCATTTTCCATTCCTACCAACTATACATGTGGCTTCCATTCCCCACGTCCTCACCAACACACATTACTGCTTGTCTTATAAAATCATGGTCATCCTAGTGGATCTGAAGGGACATCTCTGGTATTTTCAGGATTTCTTCCTGTCGTTTTTCCAGGCAGGGCTGGGGCTTGAACCCAGGCCCTTCTGTATGTCAGGCAGATGCACTGACCTTGAGTTACGTCCCCTAGCCCTGCATTTCCCTAGTAACTAATGATGTTGAGCGTCTTTTCATGTGCTTTTCATCCATTTCTTTCCTTTCTTTTCTTTTTTCATTACCGAGGATCAAACTTAGGCCCTTGCGCTTCCCAGGCAGGTGCAGGGCCACAGAGCCACATTCCCCAGCCTGCTACGATGTCCCTTGAAGCACAAAAGTTTTTAGTTTTGAAGACCCAGTGATTTTTCCTTTGGTTGCTTGAGCTTTTGTTATCATAGCTAAGAAACCACTGACTGATCTAAGGTTGTAAAAATTAACTTTGCCAGGCGTGGTGATGCACGCCTACCCCAACACTCAGGAGGCTGAGGCAGGAGGATCACTATGAGTTTAAGGCCAGCCTGGACTGGAGTATAATAACAACATCATTATTACATAAGGTTATTTTATATACTTTTTATATAAATTTTTTGCACATGGACATTCAGTTGCACCAACGCCATTTGTTGAAAGGGCTTTTCTCTCCCACTGAAGTGTCTTGACCTCCTTGTGGAAAATCAGCTGGCCGTGATTGTATCAACCGCTTCTGGAGCTGCAGTTCTTCCCTCCTGAGCACGCACCCATGCCTGCCCAAGTTCCACAGTGTCCTGCTCCCTACAGCTTTGTAATAAGCTTTGAAACTGGGGAGTGGGAGACCTCCAGCTTGGTTCCTTCTCATGCCAAGCCTTAGTTTTTTTGTTTGTCTCCCAAGACCCCTGCCAGCATAAGACAATGGTGTTATGGGGCTGTAAGAGTCTCTCTCTGTTAGTCAGGTACACACCTGTAATCCCAGCCTGGTTCAAGCCCAGCTTGAACTACAGAGCAAGACCCTGTCCCAAAAAAATGTTCTCTCTTTCTCTTCCCCTCCCCGCTCCTGTCCTGAGCGCAGGTGATTCTCCTGCCCCAGCCTCCCAGAATGCTAGGGTAACAGGCATGTGTCACCATGCCCAGCTTAACCCTGAGTTTTTAATCATTTTGCTATGCCAATCCCTATGAAGGAAAATGAAAGCAGAGCCACCATTAGTTGGTGGTTTTGTGTAGCATATTAAACCAGTAAGTATATAAATCTGAGAGCTAAGATGAGTCTTTCTTTCTTCATCCCAGCCTTTAATCAGCCCTTTTTACTGGAAAAAAATTAGAACAAGAGTGAAGACATGTGTCCGTCTGGTACACCATTTTCAATTGTCAGGTTGTATTAGAGAAAGGAGAAGAAAATTCCAGAACCTGCCATCCACAGGGCCTCCTGCCTATCTGCGTGGTCCTCGGTTCCTGTTCTGCTCCTTGTGTGGGAAGGGAAGCCATTCCGACATCCCCTCTTCCCTACAGGAGTAACAGCCAGATGAAGAAGCGGCCAACGTCAGCAGTGGGCTACAAGAGGCCTATCAGCCAGTATGCTCGGGTTGCCATAGCAATGGGGTCCCACCCCAGGTACAGGGTAAGAAGCTGGGAAGGCCAAGCCGGGAGGGAAGAGAAACCCAAGGGAGAGGGGCCTAAGCTCCTGCTTCCTCTGAGTCCCCCGCCACCTGTGCCAACATCAGATTGACTGAGCACCTGGAAGGTGTGGTCAGCAAGGCCACTGCTCACGCTGACCTGTGATTGCATCGCAGGCTGAGAATGTCATGTTTTTGGAGTTGGACGTGTCCCCTCCGGCTATCTTTGAGATGGAGTTTTCTCATGACCAAGAGCAAGACCCGCGCGCACTACACATGGAGAGGCTCATGCGGTTGGACAGCTTCCTGGAGAGACCGGCCACGTCTAAAGTCCGGAAGTCCAGATCCTGGTCAGTACCACCGAGGTCGGGGCGGCGGGCTCCAGCAGGGGGCCGTGCGGGCTGGTTGAGGCTGATGAGGGCTTTGGTGGCATCCCGATGGGCTGTGGGGGGCAGGTAAAGACCTGACTCTTCTGTCCCCTGCACTTTGCTGCCCACTGTCTGTGACCCCATCTGCAGGTGCCAGAGTCCCCAGCGGCCTCCGCCCTCCGCCACACACGCCTCCCTGGCCCCCGCGCCTCTGCTTCCCACGACGGTGGACCGCGAGTGATGGACTTCGGTCCAGCTGCCCGGCTCCCGGCCCAGGCGGCCACCCTGCTCACCTCCTCCGCAGCTTGGTGTGCGTGTGGGTGTGCGTGCGTATGCGTGTGTGCTGCGTGTGTATAATGGGGTGCCCGCCCTTCTGCACCTCCTTTATTTAATTCATGTTATTTATTTGTGGAGCCAGGCGTTGTCAGGGAGCCGCCCGGGCCGCTGTGGTCACTGCGTAGCCTCCTTCGCTCCAGACTGGAAGCCCCAGTCGGACCTGCAGCGCCTCCCGTGTCACCTGTGCCTGAGTGGCAGGCAGCACAGGGTTCACCGCCCGTGGCGGCGTCTCCATCTCTGCCCACCTCTACAGCCCCTGAGTACTTTCTGGGACGAGAGCTGCCGGAGTCTGCTGAGGACGAGACATCGGGACAGGGCTGAGCCTGTGCTCCCAGCGGACAGGGCTCTGCCCTCCACTCCCGGGCTCCAACCACTTCTTCCAGCCTCTCAGGCTCTTTTGCAAGGACTCTGATGACCTCACCAACGCTCCGCTGTCCGGCAGCGTCAGCAAGAACTCGTGGCTTCCTCCCACTTCCTAGCCTTGGATAGGAGTCGTGAACCAAGCGGTTGATGCCATGTCGGGACCGCAGGAAATGGACCCGGACGATGTAGACGGTCATCAAGAGAAGTCCCTCCTCTGGGTCTCTTGGTTTCTGTCCCCTCTGCGAGCTTCCTTTGGTCAACAAGTCATCAAACCAACTCCCCACTTTTGAGATGCGGTGTCTTCCTGCTCTGGCCAATTTCCTCTGCAGCCTCCAGATCGCAGCTTGTTGGGAAGGGACCAGTGTCATTTTACCCCTGCGCGCCCAAGGTATCAAAACTGCCCTCTGCGTTCAGCACAGGAAACAGAGACCCAGGCAGAACCTGCCAGCTTTGTCACCCCTGTTTCCCAGTCATGTTTTTGGTGCACTATTTTGTTGAAAACGGACCCATTCTTTACCACGGATGAAATTGGTCCCCTTTTCCTTCCTTTGTGACAGCCCACTATGTCTGCAAGTGATAAGTAAATTGCTTCCAAGAAAAAAATGACTTTATTTTTTACAAGCAAGACAAAGTTTTCATCCTTTAGTTTTTAAAATGCCTTTGCACATATGCAACCTCACAGAATTGCCTAGAATGACCTTATTTTAGAAGTTAAATTAAAATTACAAAGTTCAGACAGACATGGTGGCACACACCTGTAATCGCAGCACTTAAGGGGCTGAAGCGCTCCACGGTGAGATCCTGCCTCAAACAAAAATAAAACAAAACAAAAAAATAAATGGACAAGTTCAGTTCAACAGGGACCCTGGATTCCTTCCACAACACTTACCTGGTGTGCTTCTCGAAAATATATCCCTGGTCCTCTCTCTATCTTTTGAATAGAGACCTTGGATCTACTCAAAACGCATTGATAAATATACAGATTTCTTACAGAAGGTATTGTAATTTCTGCTGTAAACATTTGATAGGGTCGGGGATTTAGCTCAGTGGTTCTGCCACCTTCCTTGCAAGCACAAGGACCTGAGTTCAATCCCTGGCACCCCCCCAAAAAAATTTAATAGTTTACTATATAATTTTATGTTGGTTAAAATATTAGGAAATCCTCTAATACAAAGGACATAAGATCGATGCTTTGATTACCTTTGCAGTAGACATTTTGGCAGAGGGGTGAGAGGTAATCATGAGTTAGGGTGTCAGGCACCCTCAGGGTGAGGGTCTCCTGGCCCTATATGGAAAAAAGTCCTGCCATTGGGTAAAGCTGACAGATCTGCTCAGGTTTGGTGCGCGGCAGGCGGACGTGAGGGCTCTGCTCTTCCCTTCGAGAAACAAGACTTTCTTGCACTGTTCAAGTCCTTCTCTGAGGATCAAAGTTTTCTTTGATTTAACTCAACGCTACTCTCTTTCCGCTGTAATTTCCGCACTCGATGGCTGAGCCATTCGGTCTCCATTCGCTCCTGTCTGCCAGGAAATCAGTCTCCCTCAGAGCCTGCGAGATTAATTGAGACTCAGGATTCAGGTCAGCGGTCTGGCTGTGGTCGGGACGGCAGTTGTGTGTGGCAGTCGGTCCCCTAGGCAGCCTGGGCACCGAGGGGCATCCGGAGCTGCGTGGAGTGGCCTCTCCCACTGATCTCGTTCTCATTTGTGGACGAAGCAGCACGTGTCAGCCCATTCCTCACTTGGACACATCGACTGTGCGTTGTCTGGTCACTTGTCCCTCACAGTCTTAGAGCACAATATGCCCAACCTCGCCACCCCAGTCTGAGGGCTGGACGCAAGGTGTGGTCGGAGGAGAGCCCCTGCCTGCGGTTTTTGTGTCCGTGTGTGTGTGTGTGTGTGTGTGTACCCTGTACAGGGGACACTGCACTCAACATAAGATGTGCTGGGAGCAGGGCCCCTGTGGGTGGCTGGATCTCAGTCTCTTGTTCTCTCTCTCCTTTTCTTTTGGATGTGTCAGACATTGGATTGACAAAGTAAGGGCCTTGTTTAGGACCAAATTTCCATGTTTGTTGCTATGGTCTTTATTTAGGACAACAGTTAATGCAGTGGCCCGTTCTTGTCACTCTATACCTATGACTCTCCGGGACATATGTAATATATAAATATATAGAGAGAACATTACCTTCTGTCCCCTTAGGATGGAGGCGTCTGGCCGAGTACCACAGCGTGGTGCTGCCAGCAGCCACAGTCCCCAGCCCTGTCCAAATGAACACAGTCAACAATAAAGGAATGAGTATCGTTGCAGAGTTGCTTGTCTCTTTGCTTTGTTACTTCCTACATTGACTGCCGTCTTCGTTATTTCTCTTCACTCCTTTCCTCGTTTTTTTCCAGTAGGGGTTCAGGAGTCTGAGGGGCCACCTGCAGTTAGTATCTGTCTGCCCTGAGGGCGGTGGTGCACGTCCCAGACCCTCATGGGAGAGCTGTGCTGGCTGTTGGTGTCTGGGCTGGCAGCCCCCAGCCAGCTAATTCTGAGCTGTTAGCAGATTGCACAACTGTCCAGCTGGGCTTCCAGACCCACGAGGTCAGTGTCCCACCTCCCTCTGTCCTGCCACTCTTCAGCCAAGAGGTGTTAAGCAGGAAATAATGAAATAATGTGTGGTAATCACATGAATGTGCTTGGCTTGCTGAATTCAAATCATTGAAAAGACTAGCAGTTGCCCACCATGTGCCCAGCCCTGGGCTCCAGCCCCAGCCCTACAAAATAAAGAAAAATAAACCAGAAAACTGACAGACTGGATTCTCTGTAATGTGGAGGTCTTAGAGGAAATAAAAAGTAGCTACTGCTAACAAGCCCAGAGCCTTAAACTCTGAGCCCGAGGGGCATCCGAGGTTCAGCCGGTGGTCGCTGTGGCGCTGGTGGCTTTCTTGGAGGGACTTCCAGGCAGGAGGCTCGCAGTGTGAGGCCGGTCTGGGCAACTGAGTGGAGCTCTCTCAAAAAAGAAGAAAAAAGTCTATGAGTTTCCCTCTTTGACACACTACTTCTTTGGGCTGTGGACGCCTCAGGAAAACTCAGTCCCCTACATGTTTCACAAGGGACAGAGGGACAGTGATTTCTCTCCACTGACTTGGTTGGGAATAAAACCAGCTCTCCAGACCCTTTATCTGTGGGTTGTTTTATTGTATTTATTTTTGTGGTGCTGGGGATCAAACCCAGGGCCTTGTCCCCAGTCCTGGCTGTATTTTAAAGCCGCCCATTCCTTCCTTTAGCTGTGGGATCGCACGTGCAGGGCAGACAGGCAGCTTTCCAGAGCAGGTGTGTGCCCTTGTCCCGGGTCCTTCGTTACAGCTTCTCTATAAGGACAAGGACAGAGCAAGCCACAGGAATAGCCTAGCCTGGATTCGCGCACCGCGAACGCCCTCTAGCTCACCACCCTTCTTCCTCTGTGTGGGATCTGTGCTCTGCCTCAGCTGCTCCGGGTCATGACACAGAAAATGTGTCTGCCAGGAGCTCCCTGTGACACCGTCCACCGTGCATGCCCAATTCGTGGAAACGGGACTCTGATTTAGCAGTTTGGGCCATTCGGGTGGCGACAGGATGTAGGAATCAAACCTCCGAAAGTCTCTGGGTGGTGCTGGTGGCGGCAGTAGTAGAAATAAAGGTATTCTCAAAAAAGCTGGCGGCAGGGCCTGAGGCTGCGTAGCTTAGTGGCTGCGCATGTGCTTGATGTTGCAAGGCCCTGGGTTCAGACCCCAGCAAAGGGCAGGGTGGGGAGGTGGCAATGGTGCTAGGGCTGGTCGTGGTGCCAGTGACAGCAGTGAATAGGACAGGAGTCCCTGTCCTCATGGTGCCTATGGTTCAGTGAGGGGAGAAAGCCACAAAACAAGGAAAACGTGATGCCCCACAGGTGGTGATCAATGCAGGGCAAAAAAGGAAATCAGGCAGGGGCTAAGGCTTCCCAGCCGCTGGCAGGGGTCTGTGTGTGTGCACTTGTACAGCCCTCACTGACAAGGTGGCGTTGAGTACATTCATGAAGGAGGAAGCAGACCATGAAGACCCCTGGAAGAAGGCTCAAGAAAGAGAAAAGAAAACGCAAACAGATGTGTGGGATTGTGCCCAGCTTGTTAGAGAAGTAGCAGCCACTTTGTAACCCTGAGGCAACAAGTGTGACATTCAAGGCCGAGGGTGTCCAGCCCGCGATTTAGCTCAGTGGTTGCACTGCCTGGCTGGCAAGCACAAGGTCCTGAGTTTGATCCCTGGTACCAAAAAAAGAAGAAAAGTAGGCTAAAAAAAAACGCCAGCGGTTTTGGAAAGTCACACATATGGCTAGCAGATGAGACAGACCTGAAAGGCACAGACTTAATAGTCAATCATGCCCTTTACAGTCCTGGCTGTGTGCTTGTTTTAAAAATCATTGAAAACTCACAGAACAGTTGCCAGAATAATACTAAGTCTTTGATGCGCAGTGAGGAGGCCAGCAGAGAGCCGCACAGAGCACAACGCTGTGACTCCCGAAGAGGTGAGGCAGCCCCGCGGAGCAGCTGGGCTGAGCCACGCATGTGCAAGGACTCGGTCCCTGGAGGTCCAGCAGGACCTTAGAGCCGACCGTTGAACCCACTCAATGCTGCGAGAATTTCAGTGTCATCTTTAGCAGGAAAAACAGCTTCTCAGCCTTTACTATCTCTTAAGCATTCTGAAGCTGAAGGCAGAGGCCATTCACCTGGGGGATTCGAAGCGTGTGGCTGATCTCAGAAGTGATTTTTGTTCCACACCCAGCAGCACCGCTCCCCTGGATGGCAGAGCAGGCCGCCTGACTGTCTCTGATCGCAGTTCTGACGATTTACAGCTGTTCCTGGCCCTTTGCCCTTGTCAAATCAAACCCACCGTGTTGACTGCATTTCGTTCCAGTAGGGACGAAACAACAATAAAACAAGTCAGTGCAAAAGACAGCAAAGAAAAAATTGATGGAGGCCTTCGCTGTACCAGGCAGGAGCTGCTCACTGCTCTGAACGCTCATGAGTCACCTCTCCCAGCAACCGACCAGCCCCAGCCATCTCCCGGGACAACTGCGGGGCTGCTGCCACCCACACTCCATTTGCCTTACAAAGGGACAGTAATTCTTAGCTAGCTGAAAACCCTGCATTCCATGGGGGGGGGCAATACTTAAAACGTGAACTGAAGAGGGAGGTGTATGCTATCTAAAAAAATTCAGCCGATACACACCTACGCGCAAACCCCCTGTCACCGGCCAGAAAATGGAATCCAGCTTGAGGAAGAATTTGCAGTGTTTTTCACTTCTTCAGGAAGGTGAAAGATCACCATCGTGACATTTTATTTATTGATTCCTGGTTCTGGAGAGTGAACCCAAGGCCTTCTCCCCACCGAGCTGCATCCCCAACCCTTTTGATGTTTTCTTTTGAGATGGGGATTTGCTAAGTCACTGTGTTGCCCAGGCTGGGCTCCAACTTGCAGTCCTCCTGCCTCAGCCTCCTAGAGTGCTAGGATTACCAGAACTGGCTAATCATGACGTTTTAGAGAGGAAGAGCATATGATTCGTTCATTCATTCATTCAACGACTCTGGGAGAGCTCACTGAACAAGGCACTCTG